GTTTTTAGTAAAGCATGAAAGGAGAGCTTTGTTTTATTGAGCACATAAAAGCATGACTTTTTTTTCTAGAAGCATAGCGTTTGTTTAGCTTTTTTAGAAACTTTTTTTGAGACACAGAAACTTTTTTTTAGCTTATACTATAAGCTGAGAAACATAGTAGTTCTTTTTTTTTACACAAACATACTCCCTCCGTTCCAAATTACTCGTCGCAGAAATGAATATATCTAGAACTAAAATACATCTAGATACATTCATACCTGCGACAAATAATTCGGAACGGAGGGAGTAGCAGTTTGTTGTGGACATTAGACGTGCCAATCTAACTTACACGGCCCAAGGGACATATTTTTTCGGCCGCGGCCCGCAAGCCCACCTACGGCGACGGCTTGAAATACTCTGCCTTGGCGCCCGAACGTAACCGCCACAACCAACAGCTTTCGCTTCTCATCTTCTCCGCCTCGCCAGAGCCCCAAGAAACCAAGAACCCATCCTCCCCACCTCTCTCTCCCTCTCGCCCTCTCTCCACCGCGCAGCGCCCGTCGTCTCTGCTCTCCAGCGGCGCCCGCGGCAGATGGAGCATCTCCAGGACGGCCATTACGTGCGGCTGCGGAGCCGCGAGCACGGCACGTACCTGCACGCCGACGAGGACGGGCATGGCGTCTCCCTCCAACACCTCCGTGCTTCCATGAACGCGGCTTGGGTGGTGCACTTGTACGACCAGGGCAATGCCGACGCCCTGGCCCAGCACATGCTTCTCCACAGCGCCGCCTACGGCCGCTACCTCGTCGCCACGAACGCGCCGGCGCCGCGGGGCCACCGCGGGCGCCGCGTCGAGCAGCGCAACTACGATGATCAAGAGGAGGAGGCCATCAGGTGGGAGGCCGTCACCGTCGGGGCCGACTCCGGGAACGACGTCCTGCTCCGCAACGTCGCCGGCCGCCACCTCCGCAACGGCGCCTGGCGCTACCTCCGCGCCAACGGCAGGTACATCCACACCGGCGCCAGCGTCGACGCCTTCGACAACTTCAGCGCCAAGATGCACTGGGTGGTGGAGCCCATCCCCTTCAGGGCCGCCATGCCTCTCCTTCGACGTCCGAATAGGGTCAGGGTGAGTCCGCCATGCCCGCTTCTTGATTGAATTTGCGCGACTTGGGTTCTTGAATGCATCGGAATTTGACCGAAAAGATTGCAAATCGTGTTAATTCCATTCGCCTTGGAGCAATTCGTGGCAAAACTGCGCTTCGTGTTTGATTTGATCTCCTGGCATCATGCATGATGTTTCTTTGCGACTCAACTGCAGATTCCCTTCACCCGAAGAATCATCGGCCCCGTGTTGCCGATGCCGTCGCGGGTGATCGTGTACGTGCGGGCGGGCGCCGACGGGAGCCGCATCGGCCGCGGCGCCTTCGTGTTCGAGGGGAACTACGTGTTCGACCTGAGGAAAGAGCTGATCCGCCGCCTGGAGGCCACCATGGGCGTCTCCGACGTCGCCATGTGCGTCGAAGCGGGTACTTTCGGGCGGCCTACCCCACTCGTCGTCGACCTGCCCCGCAGCCGCCAGAACTTCCACATCGTCGTCTTCCCGGTCGGGACGCCAGGTGAACCCTCCCTACTGATCATTATGTTCTGCATTGCCATGATCTTTTGGGTTCTATTTTAATGGAAAAACAGTGTACTGAATTTGTTACAGTCTGAAAAATAGTTCACTGAAAGTGCTGCTAATCTGCTTCAGTTAGGACTTGGCAATTGCTTGAAAGTAAAAGCCCAAATCAGTTCAGCTTCACATAGAAAATACTGGTTTCTATATTATTTAGCCCTTTGTGTAATTCAGAACGAAAATTCAGCTTGTATCCCAAAACCATTACATGGAAATTAGTTTCTGCATGCACATTACAGTGTTGTCTGAAGCTTAATCTGCCTGTGTAGTCTGAAGCTTGGTAGGTTGTGACATATTCACACTCTTGGAACTTGAAAAACCAAATCAGTTAAGTCATATCAGTTGAGCTTCACATAGAAAATACTGATTTCTATATGATTTAGCCAATTCTAATTCAGAAAGAAAATAGTTTCTGGGATTGTTTTCAGGTTTTGTACATCAACTGTCTTCTTGATCTTGTTATTGACTCTGTTTTAGCACTATGATGACCTTACCTCCTCACCGTTCCTTGTAAATTCTATTTCAGTCCACGCGGGGGTGCGGTACCCGGACGTCGATGCAGTGTAGAGAAAGACCAGACCGTCGCTTCACAGTTCACTTGTTCAGAGTGTCGCCGTCTCAAAACATTTTGCAGTGAGATAGGGGTTCGGCAAAACCCAGAAGTTGTTGTGTTTCTGCTAGCTAAAGTTGGTCCCTTCTCCTGACAATGTAGTAAACCTATTTGCTGTTCGCAAATTCAGATATTAAGTGCTTGAACAACGATGGGGTGGCATTAGTCTGTAGTGGTTGCGCTCTTATTCCAACCACTTAAAGTTTCAGTCCTACCCTTAGTCTATAGCAGAGCATGTTTCCAGCAGCCTTGCATTTCTCTTTGATGAATCATTAAGGATTTGTTGCCCAGAAGTTGTTGCCACTTAAAAGTTTCAGTCCAAACTACAGCAGAGAATGAATTTGTGTTTACACATTCAGAGTGAGTTCAACCAAGGACGGCCTTCCCTGTCTTGGTTATGTGCAATTTTTTTGCAGGCCAAAGCCCGAGAATAGTTATTTTTAGAGTACAAGTTTGTATTTTTGTTTAGCAACTTCTGAATAGTCCGTAAGGAGCTCCCATTGGGCGCTGTAGGCACCCGTTGGAGAAGTGGCGCCTACAGCGACCAGCAGCGGACCACGGCCCATTAAGAAGATCCCTCCCTTGCTTCCTTCGGTTCGCTCGCTCGCTGAAAAAAACACACACTCGCCTCGCTGTTTTTTTTTCAGCCTGTGTTGTGCTGCTGGTTCAGGAAAAGGACCTGCCTCCGGGTTTTTACAAATTTGAATATGTTCGTGAGGAAAAAGATCATAGATTTATTAAAAAACTTTCGTTGATTTTGAAAAAGAGTTCAAAAATCTGAAAAAACATCATCGGATTTGTAAAAAGTTCATCACATTGAAAAAAAGTTCATTGGATTTGAAAAAAAATTATCGAATCAAAATGAGTTCATTGGATTTAAAAAAAGTTCATCGAATTGAAAAAACTTCATCGGATTTGAAAAAAAATCACCGATTTCTAAATTAAGATCATCAAAATGTTAGAAAAATCATTCATTTTGAAAATAAAGTTAATCAAGTTTTAAAAAAAGTTAATCTTATTTCAAAGAAAGTTCAAGAATTATAAAAAAATATCATCTATTTAAAAATTTCATGTATTTAAGAAAAAAAAGAAACTAGTAACAAAAAAAGAAAGGAAAAAATGCAGAAAACATTGAGGGCATTTGCTGTATGTATAAAAGGGAGGAAAGGAGGTTTGTATGCATGAGTGGCACGTTGGCGTCGTGGTAAGTGGAGTTAGCTATCAACAGAAAGATCACCGATTCGACACCTAGCCGTCCGAACTTTCCCTCGCCGGTTTACAGAAACAATAATAACCGGCGCCTGCAGTGCGAAATAGGGATTGCCGAGTCTGTAGAAAGTATCGAGTCGGAGTTTATGTTACTGGACCGGCCCATTTTTGCGCACAGCTTATTAAAGTAGAAAAATAAGCCCAGCTGTAATCGTGGCGACTATTTCTAGCATTAAGCTAGAGTCCATTGCGATAACAATTTCTCGCTTTATGCGAGACCATCGCTTGCTCTCGTGTCGGAGTCTATAGTGGCCGGCCGGCCCATTGAAGAGAACATAAAACAAGACAAAAATACATAATTAGGAGTGCGCGAGCGGGAGGGTTTGATCCCAAGTCACCAGGCCAAAGCGGCTAACCAATGTGCCTCTGTAGGTTCTTTGGTGAAACACATGGCGTGCCTTACTTCAGGCGAGTTGGTCTTGTTTTCTCCACTGTTTTTTTTCTTTCCCCCTTTTTTCATCTGTTTTCTCCTTTTTTAAACTACAAGTTTTACTGGTTCTCGAGAAATGAGTTTTCTTGTATATATTTTTAACTATTTTAAAAATATCAATATTTTTTAAATACATGGTCAACATTTTTTCTATAGACATTCAACATTTTTCAAATACTTGTTCAAAAAATTCCAATATTTGTTCAAGATTTTTATATACATAATCAACATTTTTCAAACAATTTTTCAACATTTTTCCAATACTTTTCCAATATTTTTATATACATGATCAACATTTTTCAAATAGTTGTTCAACATTTTGCAAATAGTTGTTCAATTTTTTAAATGCTTTTTCAATATTTTTTCAAATGATTGTTCAACATTTTTCAAATAGTTGTTAAACATTTTTCAAGTAGTTGTTCAACATTTTTCAAGTTGTTGTTCAACATTTTTCAAATTGTTGTTCAACATTTTTTACTACTTATTCGACATTTTTCAAATACTGGTTCAACCTTTTAAATACCTATTTCAACATATTTCAAATACTTGTTCAACGTTATTTAATACTTGTTTAAAATTTAAAATACTTATTTGATACTTTCAAATAATTGTTCAACACTTTTGAAAATAGTCATTCCACATTTTTTAATACTTATTCAACATTTTTCAAATACTCATTCAACATTTTGCAAATGTGTTTTTTTGAAGAGTGTATAGAATATTTTAAATTATAAAAAAATGTAAGAAAAAGCAAAAAATGAAAGCAACAAACATGGAAAAAAACGAAACAGGAAACATGCTGGTGTATCCCGTGCGCGTGGGGACACGCGAGGGATCGATTCCTTGTACCCGCGAACGAACCAAGCGCGACAAGCAACCGCACCCGCCCACACTTCGTGTTAACTAAAAGGGACGCGACCTACATGAAGCACGTCGAGATGGTTTTTTCCGTTTGTTTCTTTTTTCTTCTCCTTTTTTTTTCTTTTTCTTCTCCTGTTTTTCCTTTTTTCTTCTCCGATTTTGTTTCATTATTATGTCTTTTCTTTGTTTATTTATGTTTTTCATTCTACATTCCTATATACATTATCAACGTTTTTTCAAATACTTGTTGAATATTTTTATATACATGATCAACATTTTGTTCAAATACTTGTTCAACAGTTTTCAAATATTTATTCAACTTTTTTAAAATACTTGTTCAAAATTTCTTAAATACTTGTTCAAAAAATTTCAAATACTTGTTCAACATTTTTTATATACATGATCAACATTTTTTCAAATACTTGTTCAACATTTTTATATACATGATCAACATTTTTTTCAAATACTTGTTCAACAGTTTTTAAATACTGGTTCAAAAAAATCAAATACTTGTTCAATATTTTTCAAATACTTTTTCAACCTTTCTTATATACATGATCAATATTTTTCAAATACTTGTTCAACATATCTTCAAATACTTGTACAACATTTTTCGAATACTTGTTCAACATTTTTATATACATGATCAACATTGTGTCAAAGGTTTTTTGAAGATTATTTTTATATATTTAGAATATTTAACTTATAAACAATAGTACAAAAAATACAAGTAAAAAGATAATAGAAAACGTAAAAAAAACAGAAAAAGAGATTGTGGCCTCTTGTGCTTATGGGTCGGCCCACCTCGCTCACCCTTCAGCGAGCCCAAAGTCAGACTTGCTGAAGGCAAGACTAGTCGTGCCCATCTATAATACCCTCGCCCGGTCCTCCGTTTTCGACAAAGGGAATATATTAATATCGCGAAGATACCAATACACCCAACCTCTACAACAACGCAATATCGTAAAGACATTGCAGATGCACACAACCAAAAGAAAATAATAAGAAGAAGAAGACGAAGAAGAAGAAGAAGAAGAAGAAGAAGAAGAAGAAGAAGAAGAAGAAGAAGAAGAAGAAGAAGAAGAAGAAGAAGAGATCCCGCAACAGTGATCAATTCCTCGTAGCTGCAGCACGAGCCACCACCTAGACAACACCCGAAGTCCTAATTCTCCAAAAGTGATGCCTCCAAGAAGGAAACAGTGCAAAAGCACCGTCATCGTCCGATCCTAGATCTTAGTTTTCACCCTGGAGAAGATCCACGCTCTCAAAACAATGCCTTCAATAAGGTCACTGTCAGGCAAAGCTCAGACCCTAGGCCTTCACCCCAAAAAGCTAAGACTCTGTACTCCACCTATGCTGCCGCCCCCACATGCCAATGTCGCTGCCACCAGTCACGAATCACCAAGCAAAGTCCTCATTGCCACGAAGACTCGATCTGCTATTACAAGACCTCATGCCTCAGCCACCATGACCTTCTCTGTCACTGTCTTCACCATGGAAATCGAAATACCAACGTGTCCCATTCTGTCAATAGATAACGAAGCTTCATGTCACACCCTCCTGAAGCCACTCGGGCTGAAATCGGGGCGCACACGACCGAATCCCATCCGATCCAGAAATCTACATGCGTCAATCACCCAATGAAGATCGCCAGCGGAGCATTCCGGAACTCGTCAATGGCCACATCCATTAGGGTCGCCAAACGGCAGAACACCATCTTAGAGCAAAAAAGAACCAAAGGGCCGTGCCACCCGCCGGCTACCAACAGAAGACCGGAGATCTCAGTGGGCACCACCGCCATCACCCGCACCACGCGCGAGATGAGTAGCTGAGACGCACCAAGCCCCTCGAACCAGACGTCATGTCGCCCTCGCGGCCACAATAGCAGTCGTGGTCGCTGGAGAAATCCGGGGCTGTCGCCTGGAGCCCATCTCCGCCATAAGAACAATGACGTCCAAGGCCGCCATGGAGATCCAGCTGGAGTTCGTGCAACGCGGGAGGAATGGCCCCTGCTACGTCTTGATCTTGCGTTGGTTTTCCTCGAAGAGGAGAGGGTGAAGCAGCAATAATAGCGTAAGTATTTCCCTCAGTTTTTGAGAACCAAGGTATCAATCCAGTAGGAGGCTCCTCAAAAGTCCCACGCACCTACACAAACAAACTGAGAACTCGCAACCAATGCAATAAAGGGGTTGTCAATCCCTTCACGGCCACTTGCAAAAGTGAGATCTAATAAAGATAGTATGATAAGATAAATATATTGTTGGTATTTTATAATATAGATGCAAAAAGTAAAGATGCAAATAAAAGTAGATTGAAAGCAAATATGATAAGAGATAGACCCGGGTGCCATAGGTTTCACTAGAGGCTTCTCTCAAGATAGCATAAGTATTACGGTGG